TTTCATATTCACAGTTGTTGGTAAGTTTATGATTTTAATGTAATTAAATCTAATTTTAGGCTCTCTTGATATGGGAATTAACGTTGTCATGCGATGCAGGGTGACGTACAAAGTCAAGTGTGTGCCCAACAGTTATCTTCATCTACCTTTACCCCTCCGTTGATACCGTATCATACTTTAGGTACTTCAGGTCCATGTGTTGATCAGGTAAAGGTATACTTTGTTTCATATGCATGTTGTGTGACAAACATTAAATGATCACTGGTAATGTATAACTATTGTTTATTTTATTTTCAGCTGAACGGTACGGATCGTTTCCCAAGAGCTTCCCACATTGCAGACGACATGGCCCGTAATCGACCCTTTACGGCAAATAATGACAATGACGAAATCTGATATGGGAATTGAATTGGGGGTGAAACTCGGTTTTATGTCATTTCTGTGTTTTGAGGGGAATTTTTCTGTCTTTATGTATAACTATTGTTCATTTCCTGTGCATCTTGGTAGACTTTGTGGACTGTGCTTTTGCTTGGCAGTGTTAATTGTAGTGTTTATGACTTTATGACTTTCCTGTGATATGGATTTTACTGTCAGATGGATGTTGCTGTGATATGTATTTTGCTTATCAAGATTTATTTACAGGTCCAGAAAATGTATTTTGCCACAAAATGTATGTTGTAGTCATTAGTGATTGCTTGCTTAATTCAAGAACAGCTCCAGGTAGTCGATTGCTTGCTTAATTCATTAGTGATTGCTTGCTTACTGATTGCAGTTTACTGATAAATGGAGAGGCAGTTTACTGATTTGCTTGTACTTCTATATATTAAAACTGATGCAAATAGCTGGCAGCAGTTAGTAACTGCTAGAATCTTCAAGTTAGTTAGAGTTAGTTTGGACAGCTGAAATTAGTTAGTGTATAGTTGGAGTCAGTTAACTGTGTGCTTATAAGTAGCTGGATGTATCCAATTTCTTTGATCAATATACACGTTCGTTTTCCCTCAATACTATATAAACTCCAACTTCATAACACTTTCGTAGCAATCTTTGCAATTCAATTTCCATGGTACAGAAAAGTCTAATTTAGGGACAAGTTGTAGTTATAGTTATATAGAAAAATGCAGTACACAAATGTTGGGGTAAAATATAATTCCTTCAACATGGTTTACATAAGTTTCCCCATAACAACTACATCTTTGAATAACAGGAAGTTCCAAGGCTTCCATACAACAGGTAAATCATACTTGATTCAGGCTTTCAAGATACAAAATGAAGCCTTCAACATCTACACTACCACTTAGCCCCCAATGGTCTTTATTCTACAGCCGACACACACACAAAAACAAGCCATAACATTCTCCTGCTACTTATCAAGCTCGGCCCTTTCCCTTTCCATTCACTTCCGCACTTCCCTTTGCCTTGCGGAAAGTCACATTCAACGTTATCTCGACGTCTCGTTTTTCTGCTATTTGAGCTAGACTATCGAACATGGCTGCCAAATCTTCGCCCACTTCATCTATGACCGCTTCAGTCCTTGTACTACTTTCACCACAGAATTCTTCATTCTCGACCCAAAAGAAATATCCACAATTATTACTGCACGTTTTGAATAATCGTCCTCGATTATCTGTCTTCCTTTCAACTTCAAAGCATTTCTCCCATCCCAGTGAGCACCATGGACATCCTCGTTTTACCGGACAGTCGTTGAAGAAGTGCTGTGTACTTCGACAACCGTGACAAACACCCACGTTCTTCCGTCTCATCCTGGACGGTAATAAACACAAATAGCATATGCAGTTAATTGTCACAAATAATACCAGCATCTCACAACAATTCACAGGGAATGGGAAAGTAAAAACTGAATAAGATTCGGAAGAAACTAACCTCACTTACGGCTGATGCGGGCTAGTCGAATGCTGCTAGTGGAGTTGACTGTGGCGTCTGTGAACAAAGGTGAGGAAAATTAGTTTTTCGATCAAACTTAATTTTAGTTTTTTCACAAGTTCTTTCACTGACAGTTTGGAAGGAAACTGACTTCACTGAAAGCTTACAGTTTTCACAATTTTGGGGAAAATTATGCCGTTTTGGAGGAAGCCCAAATATTTAAAGCCGACAAATTTGGGGTAAAATTCATAAGACAACCCACGTAACGAAGGTGAAGATACCTTGATGTTCAGGGCTGACTCGACACCCGACGGTGGAGAAGGGTACGGCGTACGGTGGTGAAGATGAAGGAGGCGATTTCACCGTGTGCGGGGTACGGTGGTGAAGTCCAAGGAGACGATATCACTCTCTGTTCGACGTTCGAATATCTGTGCACATTTCAACTCGCCGGGAATATGAAAATGATGGCGACGCCGGGATGAAGGGGATGATTTCTAGGGTTCCCGATTTTCGAATGGAGAGGGAAACGGGAATGAATTGGGACGGTGAACAGAGTGTTTGCGTTTTTCTCTTTTTTTTGCCTTAAATATTTTCCATCTGCCACGTCATTCGGTTCACTTTCTGTAGGTTCAATTCTGTTCGTGTAGCGGGGTCGAAAAAAGTTTTATGAAAGTTACGTACATAAAGTGAAAATGTTAAATAAATTGAAATGTGATGATTTATTTATGCTAGACTTTGGTTGGACCCCTATTTTCAACTATTACGACGATATAAATTAATTTTGTAGTACAGACAGATACGAAAAAAAATCAAATTAAAAGATGTACATCTAATTAAATTTAAATGTTTACGTATAAGTAAACTAAAGGTACGTAAATAATTTTCAAATTAAAAAATTACTCATTTTGTCTGTACCATAAGTTTTTTTTACCTAAAAAATAAAAACCAAAAATTACATAATGTTTTTTTACCTAAAAAAAATAAAAACCAAAATTTATCTTATCTAAATATATTTAAAAATAAAAAATTACATAGTAATCATGCTTGTCATATTAATCCATAGCATTTATTTTAAATTAGAAACCAAAGTTACATTCAAAATAGATATCGAAGTGAAAAATCTTAAACAAAAGCTTTACTTTTTTAATGGGATTAATACAAATAGAGAAATAAAAATTCTCCGTATAAGTGTACCAAGATTTAAAAAAAAAATAAAAAAATTCTTTATATATTTATATCTAATAAGTAACATAATTACCATTATTTTATGCTTGTACAAAAGTGAATACGCAATAATAAATACTCAAATGATGGCCTTAAATAACCATTTTATGGAAATTACAAAATATTTTTTAATTTAATTAATACTATTATACTTAAATGGATATTAAATAAAGTTAAATTATATTAAATGATACTATATTAAATATATAAGGATAGAATTGACATATAGTTAAATAAGTAAGGATAAAATTGATATTCAAAAGTTTTTCCTCAATCACATTTTTAATATATTGTAGACTTAACTCTTTTAGGGCTCATTTGTTAAGAAATTTACTTTTTTGTAGATGAGATTCATGAAGTCTCCTTAGAGCGCACTTAAAAAATTATTTTTGCTTTTACTTAAAAAAAAGAAAAAAAAGGAGTTTTTTAAGGGAGTCTTTAGAGAACTTCATCTAATTGCTATTCTGATTAGACAAAGCACTTTTAGATAAATTAGTCAGAGTTGAACATGCATTACACGTCATTATAAAATACTTTGTAAGTACTATAAAGTAATATTTGATACCAATTTGTTGAGATGAAGAAAATAAAATTTAGGATAGAAATTTAAAATAAGAAATTTGTACTATCAAAACTCTACTTCTATGATTTAAATTTGTTGGGATTATGAAATACTACAAATAAGTAACCTTTTTATATTACAATTAGTACATAAAAAATTAGTAATTGCTAATACATGAATTTAAATACTCATTAAAATTTTTAGATAAACAAATAGAAATAAATTCATTTATAATTAATCTAGATTCATATAGATCAAGATTTATCGAGTCTAGATTAATGTGAATGTTAATTAATTGAGAATTAATAATGCAAAATTCACAAATGACAAGGATTTTGTAATATTTATTACATGTTGAAAAACGAAAGATAAGATATTATTGAAATAATTGAATTGTAGTTAGGTTAAAATCGTCCATAAACTAAGAGTCTGTTTGGAAGTGATTTTGAGAATTGATTTTTTGACCGTTAGGAAAAAAGTGAGGTCCACCTGTGAGAGAAGAAGTCAAATATAACAGTTGAAATAGTGAAATAACAGTGAAAAAATCAATTTTTGGAAGGAAAAAATCACTCTCAAACAGGCCCTAATTCTCACTTGATGTGATATTTAATATATTATAGATTTGGTCTAAAAAGGATTTTTAGTCTTAAAAATAACTTTTGACTTTTCAAAACCCAATCAAATTGCCCTTAGGCCAGTTTTATCTTAAAGCACTTTTAGACAAATAAATCACTTTTAAAAAATTATTCAAACATATTCAAAAGTAATATTTAACTTTTCAAAAGTTCTCACAAACAAATCCTTGCTTTGGTATGAATCATCACATTAACCATTGCGTTCAACCAGGATCCATATCTTCAATCTTTTACGCACATCTAGAGATTCATTCGTGCATTCAAATGACATTTCACTTACACGTAACTCATTGTAGACATGTTTTAATATGATATTATAATAGACAAAATGTTTGTGCTTGAATTTCACTGCTATATATTTATGAAAATTGTACACACAATAAATCTTTAATAAACGATAATTATAACTTAAGATTCCATAGCAAATAAATGTTCCCTTAAGTCCTTTTTAGCCTCTTGTTTTTAATTTATTTATAATCGATTTAACTATTTTTATTCACATATTTGTGAGATTCGAAATTATTACTTACTTATTCATCACTCATTTCTATATACTTACAATTAAATAGAATATAAACAGCATCCAAACATGCATTTAATTTTTTAGAGAATTTATAAATTTGTTATAGATAAATTCTCCTAGGTCTCCAATCTTTTCCTAATTGGGTCATTCATATCTCCAATATTTTAGCATTGGGTACACAGTGTTCCAACTCGATGAAAAAGTTTAAATAGAAAGTAAAAGCATATCCAAGAGACTTTCTATTTTTAAAGAGAATATTCTACAATTTAAAAAGCATTTAAAAATTTAAAGAGCAAAAATTTTAAAGTGCTCTGATGGCCTCTTTATTTTTACTATTTAATTTTAGCATGCTCAATATGTATTGATTGTTTTTTAACATTTAATTTTAAAGTGCCCATGTAGCCTTACAATGATTCAATGAAAAGATATTGAGATTTGCACATATTATTTAATTAAGTCAATAAATTATACATTGGAAGTTGAAACCTCTGAAGCATTAAATTATAGAGAGGTAACTCACTCTTTATTTTAAAATGTTAAATTGAAGAGTCTATTGGAGTAAAATTTTAAAGATTGACTTTTTAAAGTAGAAAATATCTACTTTTAAAGAGGTTATTGGAGTTGCTCTAATAGGTCACACAATAGATGCATGATAAGTGATTGATATTTATAATTGCTCAAACATCACCCTCCACTTCGAAGACTTATTGTTTTAATGTAAGGGGCCATGAGAAAGTAACATTCAAAGTTGAAAAAGATAACTTTTATATAATAATAACATCCATCAGACGTGTGTCATGTGATAATTTATTGTCTATTTAGAGGTTTTCGGTGTCACTGCGAAATTGTGTGCACAACGTTAATAGATTGGGGACATAGAGTGGCACAAATAAAAATTGGGGACATTGATGTCATGTGTAGGAAAGGTTAGGGACCCTAGGAGAATTTACTCATTGGTAGCATACTCTATGTGACGGGTGATTTTATCCCCGATTACAAATCCTATACGACCCGCCCTTAAATTGAAAATTCAATTCAGTGTGATTTTTCATTCAACTTTCTTTTTTTTTTTTTCTTTTTTTTCACCAAGAACATTTTCTAAAACTCTTTGACACCCCAATTTGGAGAATCCTATTATCACGTTGAAGACTTTACGAAATGGGTGGAGTAACTGAAAATATAGCTAGAATGGATATTTCAATAATAACATCCAAAATGCCTATACGAACTCAATTTATTATTTCAAGATAAAAATGTAGAACCAACGAAAACAAATTTTGGGGATGAAATTATCTTTTTCTGGACAAAAAAATATTTCCTTTTTCTTCACTAGGAGAGAAGGGATGTCATAATTGGGATTTTGTTCACAATGACATTGGCTTGGAGTGAAAGATAATTCTGAATCTGCTTCGCAATCATGCTTTATTCCCTCGTTCAAACCGAAATGGAATTGTACATCCAAAATAGTCCTAAGAAGACATGATCTTTTGCTAAGCTGGGAAAACCAATTGTGTCCTCTCGATCGCCTTGACCAATCACAAATTAGCCCGACTAACGATCGCTTTGATCTTCTCCTACATCCCTTTGATTGCTCAGTATCTCCTCCTTGCCGTACTCTTTTGGTACTGAGAATCCAATAGAGAAAAAAGCTTTTCGTCTTCTTTCTCGATATTCAACTTTTTCCGTGGAAAAAGTATAAAAATGATGTAAAGGTACTCACGAAATAGGTAGAAGTTGGTAGTCTAACCTATCCAAGTAGGAAACTCAACTGTGGAACAATTGTGATCAATAGAGATCGAACGGTCCCACAAAATCTCCAAGATATTTTTGGGGGAAAAAAGAGAGACTCGGTTTTTTATTTTTCTACCACATATTCTATTTTGATACTAAAAAAATGATATTTTTCTGGAGGTAGAAATGAATTGTTAGAAATTCAATTGGAATAAGAGTTTCTCATTAACAAAAAATTCTTTCATATCAAAATTCATTATTGTGGAAGACCCTAATATAATAGGGGTATGTCATAGCTACCTTAGCTTAACCAAACATGCTAAGATAATCTTATCATGACAATGTTTGTTGATGCCGGAGTCAATATTGGCTATACTTGAGGGTATGTTTTGTTGCTGATCAATGTTCTGGTTTAAGGTTTGACCGATATAGACTCAAAAGCAAATATATGATCTCGGTATAGCAATATATATAACAGCTTGACAAGGCATATGATACTAAAACATAAACCAAAAATAAATAAATAAATAACTGCTTTTCTGTGTTGTTCTTCTGGAATTTATACCTCAAATGTAGATTAGTTTCACGGAAGGCCATATTCAGTTGTCTTCTGAATTAAGTTTGTCTGGTTATATGTAGACATCTTGCATCTAATATATAGAAAGATAATTGAAAAGAATATGTTAGGGGAAAAAAATCCTACTAAATATACTACATACACCAGGAAATATAAAACTTAATTGCTTTTCACCCTCACATTTGTCTCTGTGCATTTAGTTGATACGTTGTCGAAATACTAAGTGTACGGTATTGTATACTCAACATCGTACATTAAAATATTAAAAAGAGCTAGGATTTTTCCTAGGAGGAAAGACAATTTCTAACCAGTCATTTCCTTGAAGCTAGGATTTTTCATTACAGCACACGTCACCAAAAAAGTTGACTTTGATTTTTTTTATTATTAATTTTTTTGTTTGTTGGGCG